AAAACAAAATTAAAAACACTCAATTCGTTTTCTTCTCATTTTATTTTGAAACAGGAAAAACCAAAGAACGAAACAAAAACGTTTTTGATTATCAGGTTTCTGTATTTCATGATGATGTGTTGGAAACTATAAAACCTGGAGGGTGATCGGTCCTCCAGGACTGGACACCTCTGGGATAAATAAAAAACATTGACTCCTCTGGGAACCTCTACAGGTGCTGTGAAGTTTGACCACCAAACTGACACAATAAGTAAATAGAAATAATATTTAAATAAATAAACCACATCATAGCCTGGTAGTAAACCCTCTGAGTCAAAAGCGGAGGGATCTAAAAAAAAAAAAAGGCAACATAAAAATGTTTGGCTTCAAGGACTTAAAGGAGTCAGTAACTGAACTGATAAAAACATAACATTGTAAAAATTTGTTCCTGAGGTTTTTTCTTTGTTTCTTCAGAGGTTAAGTGAAATGCCTGAGGTTTTTTCCATAACCTCTGTTTTTTTTAAGTCTTTGTAATTAAAACCTGGAGGCTGCAGTGGGTTTAAACCAGTTTTGGCCCCTCTTTTGTTTTAATGGTACTGGTCCGTGTCATCAAACCTGAATTCCTCCTCTTTTTCCTTCCTTTTGATTAAAAGAAAACACGAACCAGAGTTCCACCCTACTGGTCAAGAACTTCATGTTTGTCCAGCAAACAGCTCCCTGAAGTCATTTTTATAATAATGTTAAAAAAAACATGTGACACATCCTTCATTCAGACATTCTCTGGCAGATGAAAGAGTCCCAAACTACAGAGCCAAATAAAACTTAAATCGTCTCTAACAGCTGATTAAGTTGCGCCGAATGTTTGATAGAGGGCTTACAAGATTAACACCGTTAGATTCAAGATGGCCGCCACAGCAAAACCACTTTGACACCAAAAAACGGAGTCAGTTTTACAGATGTTTAGCTAAAACTGGATGTGGCAGTAGCTGAGCATTATCCCCAACACATAGCTGAAACTGTCAGTAAAAATCTCACAAACCAATGAAGTTAACACACAGTGATCATCAGATGGACACCTACGACTTAACTTTTTGAGGCAGCTGATTCAAGATGGCCGCCACAGCTAACAAGAATGGCTGTAAGTGAGTGGTGTTTACAGAGATAAACGTTGGTGTGGTAGTAGCTGAGAGTCATTCACAACACACGCTCCGAGCACAAACAGGATTAGATTGAGCAGAATGTTTTCAGGATTTGAATAAAATCACTCCAGAGGCACTTTTAAAGCTCATCACTTGTTCCCCTTTGTGTCGTTGCATTTGTCTGCATTAAACATGCGTCCATCCTACTAAATCTCTGACTTTATACCAAAATGTAACTTTTTATTTTTTAATTAAAGTTTACGAGGTTCAGGGCTGATCTCAACGTGCAGAACATCTTGTTTAAGACTGTTCCGGTCAGTCGTTTCTGACCAAAGCAAATATCAAAGTGCTGTGATAAAGAGCCCTGGTTTTATCAGCTTATCCTGGCAGTAATAGGGAGGCTTGGTTTCAGGATTAGTACAAAATGACAACTTAATCTTTTTAATGCATCAGTGCTTTTAAAAATAGAAAGGGAGCACAAGGTTTGATTCGGCTGAAATGCAAACAAATTGTGTGACATCTGGGCCCTCATGCATAAAGGAGCGCACAGCTTTCACACTAAAATTTGGCGTAGGTACAAATTTAGAGAAGTGCGCCGCACCACAAAAATCAGATGTATAAAACCGTGCGCATGCAGKTTCCTGTGCACCTTTCCTTTATACATCCCAATGAACGTGGAACTGAGACTCCTCCCCTGACACGCCTCCATTTAAATATGTAAAATAGATGTAAATGTGTTCAGAGTGTGAGATTCTCCTCAGATTGTCCTCTCTGTGGGATCAGAAATGATTTTTAGATGCCGGAAAAATAGAAATTAAACAGAGAATGAGTGAGAAAATTGTCTAAATAGTGGAGTGTTAAAATGTGTTTGCCACACGCAAAGGTGTGTGTGTGGGTGTTGGTGTGTACGCAYGTGTTCTGCTGTTTTCAGCGSCTCATGAGCCTGAGACATTTCCACCTTTACACGTCTTTAATAAATGACTGTAAACACAGAGAAACTTATGACTTTGGTAGAACTTAGAAAAATATTTATTAAATAGTTGATGTGAAGAGTCGTGGCGCCACAAGTTTCTGCCGCAGACCGGTGTAGAATTTATATTTTAGAATCATGAAGTCTGTCACTCAGCTGCATGGCTTGGCTCAGAACTACAGTAAAATACCTGATTGTAATTTTTTCGCTGTGATACAAATAAACAAAAAAAAAAAACACTGTCCTCAATTGTTCTTGTGGGGATATCAACCTGCACAACAGTTG